ACTTCACTCCTCTTACTATATTTGAACTAAATTTAATATATTTAGTTGCCTATATTAAATTTTATATTTTTAAAAATTATATTCTAAATAAAATTACATTTGCTGCCAATTAAAAGCGAATTTTTTATTGTGTAATGTAATTAATGCTCCGGTGCGTTATTCACATCTTCCCTAACTATATTCGCCTAACGAGCGTAATAAGCACACAACATAATTAAAAATATATGCACAAATAAAACATTTGCACATAAAATATGTCCACAAATGCACAACATTTGTAATAATTTCAAAAGGGATTGAAATATATCAGCGATTTATTTATTACACTCTGCTAATTAGGATATTTAAACAGACAAATCGGCATTCGAAATTCGAAACACGTATAATTATTGTAATCAATCGAATGAGATGAAACAGATGTTCATGCAATATTTTAATCAAAATCCAAAGTATTATAAATTTTCATTCAAAAATGATTTAATTATTTGATAAAATAGAATAGAATTCAATAAATAAATATTTGCGCATGCGTAGGTGCTTATTGAGTAAGCCAACTAGCCTTAACTTAAGTCAGTGAACTCCAAGTCGACTTTGAACTTGGCGCGCGTTACAAACAAGAAAAGAAAGAACTCGTTAAAAGAGAAAACATTAACCTTAACCTAGAATCATCTCCGAATCTACTTCTCTCTTCCACTCTCCTTTGAAACGAAAGACTTAATTTGAATCTACTTCTACTTCGCTTTTATTTTCTTTATTATTAATTTCATCGCACATGCTCAAGAAGTAAGATGCACGTTTGTAAGAAGTGGTTTTCTGTGTCTGTGTACCCTTGATGACTCGATGCGGTGGCATTTTATAAAGATAGCCGAGCGCGTCGCCTATAATTACATTTCCTGCTCCTGCTCGTGGCGACCGCGACAAAAAATGGATAACGCATCAAAATGCGGGCGGATTCATGAGCATGACGAGTTGCATACATGCACTCAGACTCTTGGTGCAGCAACCCGCGGGTATACATTATAGATTAATCATGCTACGGATGGATGAAAAGATGAAAAGTTACGAAATGCTTCCAGGTCCTGATGTTTGTTACACTTTCACGCAAAAACTACTTAACCGATCATCATGAAAATTTGTACACATATTCTTAGTGGTCCCCGAATGGTTATAGGCTACTTTTTATTTAATAAAAAGAATTATTTTTTAAATAAAATAAAAAAATTGTTTAGCCAATAATACCTCTGCATCTGGCTATTTGACTACTTTAACGCCATCTAGCATTCCAGCAATGAAGCTCAAACCTAAGTACTATAGTACCATCACACTGTATTATCACACTGTATTACCGACAGATACGTCAACATCAAATCCAATTGACTACACTATGGAGACTGTACACTATACTTCCATAGACTATACTTTCAGCCATTTTAAACTTCCCGCCATTCTACTTCATTGTTACTTCTTCTGTGACTACAGACGCGTACGGAAGCAACTTCATTATTTTAGATATTCGCGAGCGAAGCCGCGGGTTAAAGCTAGTAAACAAATAAAAATCATTTTGAAAAAAAACCTGAATTTTCCTCCGAAATAAATTAATTTCATGTTTTTTTTAATCAAAAAACTTTCACAAACGTGATTCTTTTCGATTTTTTTTTTATTTGATGCTATTCATGACGCTAGCGACTTATTAAATTAAATTCCGAAACTCTTCGAGACGAATTACTCGCCGGTGCTATGCAATAATCGCATTTTTACGTTCGGACATTTTGTCCTACGCCGTGACGTGCACGTCGTTTACAAAGTTGGCAATTTAATTCGCGTCGGCCGAAATAAATACACGACGTTCGCAAAAACTGCACAAAATATAAATATTTTGAGTGCGGGATTATTTATGAGCGAAGTATAAACATGAGAGAGGCTGATGAGAAGAGTGTGAAAAAATAAAGATGACGCGCATCCGAATGCAGGCTAATCCAATAAGTACGCAGCAGAATTCGGGCACATCTGGCAACGGGCGACCAAGCATCAAGAGATGACGCGGAGTTTCTTTATTTGAGCGGAAATTCCAGACGCGAAAGAAGTTAAATCTTGAATTACACGTGAAAAAACTAAATAAATATTTCAAGTAAGTGTTACAGGGGCGTAATTAATTGTATTCAGCGCCATCTGGTGGCAAATTACATCAAAAACAAAATTTAGAGAAAAAGTTGTGCAAAAGTACTTTTTTCGCTTGTTTAGCTATTAATTTAGCTGTAAGACGTGTCTAAAAGACCAATTTTACGAAGTTTATATTTAATATTACTTAAACATTGACTTAAATTAGTAAAAAATGATTTTAAGGACAAAAACAGTTGAAATTGATAAAAATAATTTTTTTATGCTCGTTTATCATCAAATTTTAGTTTTTCCACGGTTTTGAGGCACGAAAAGTGGTTCTTTAAACACGAACGACCAAAATTAGTCACGGCCGTGACTAAAGTACTTTATAATGTTTAAATTCTGACCTAAAATGACAAAAACGACTTTGTAAACACAAAACACATAAAATATCCACCGCAGCATGTCTAAAACCCCCATTTTCCGCACTTAATACACAATAAATTATTTTTTAAATATTTATCTTTCCTGTGTGCCCGAGTACACACATCGCTGTAAGAGTCGTGCGCGCCGCACACAATGTTTGCATAGCGACCAAAATGCATTGCAAAAGTACACTCGTTATCTGCTCTAGTGGATTCGAAATTATGCCGCGCCATTAAATTCCATTTGAACAATTCGCCGGCGTTGCGCGCGCGTTTTCGGGCGGCGTGCGGCCATCCGAAGCCCTTCACCCACACGAGACCGCGAGCAGGAAGCGCATAACCACACTCGGCGGCCTTGCCGCCGTCGAGCATAAACATATCTCGGTATATCTCGGCCGGGGATCGGATTTTATAGTCCATCGTTTGCGTAAGAGTGTGTCGAGTACCCTCGGGGAGGAAAAGTCCTGTTGGAGGACCTGGACGCATACAAAGTAGGCATTATGAACACCGGAAGTGAATATTGATATTGCACACATTTTACTATTAACCTAAACATAACCTGCATTGCAACTCAATTTGTTTTTAGTAAAATTTAAAAAATAATTTAAAAAAATACTTGACAATGACTAGCAGAGTTTTGTGGTTCGGGTTGTGAAATACTTGAATCTGTAGAATTCCACAGACCGGCAAATACCGGACGCACCGGACGTCTTACTTCTTACTGCGAAAGAGCACAGCTCGTAAAAAAGGGGACGACGGCTGGCGTGCGACACGAGCTGTCACGCGAAGAGCGCGCAGCGCCCAAGAAGAGGGCATTGTGCACACTCGAGGCGAGCGCAAGTACAAGAGCACTTTGTTTACTCGCCATCAAGCGGCCAACCTGCGCGCCCAAAGGCAGGCAGGTGTTGCTGACCTTTTCTTTACAGGTCTGGAGATTCAGTGCCTCTCAATGCAGAGTCAACAGGGTGAAATATTCATTATACACAAAATACAAAAACATATTGTAAATATAACAGAGTATAAAACAATCTCTTAAAAATAAAATAAATTTTTTGAGTTTTTGAAGAAAAGCAGAATTTTTTAAGTTTTAAACCGAAAAATGCAAAAAAAAAAAACTTTTAAGCACTGGTTTCAAATTCTTTAAAATTTAATAAAGGTAAAAGAAAATTTTAAAAATATAAAAGAAAAATATTGAAATTATTAGTTTTTCTAAGAAATTAAAAAAACATTTTGAGAAGCACTGGTTTCAACCTCTTTAAAAAATATTGAAAAGCAATTTTTTTCGAGTTTTCTTTAAAAATATAAAATAAAAATATTAAAATTTTCAGTTTTTCCAAGAAAAAATTTTTTTAAAAACTTTTGAGAAGCACTGGTTTTACTTAAAATTCAGGTGCGCATGGAAACCCTTCCTAATAGAATACCTTCCTACCTGCCCGCAATAAAAAACACCAACAACATAAAATAATTAAGCATTTTTTGCGCAATTTAAAAATTTAAATCACAATAACAGTACCTAAATGCTTCCAGAATGTAAAATAAAAACGTACAATAAACAAATGTAGTTATAAAATTACAGCATCATCTCATGCGCAGCGAATAGCACAGCAAAAGTTGCAGTAATAATGTATAAATTCCCCGAGAACATGAATAAACATTAAATATTACAGCGCAGTATTCAATTTTATATTCCCAACGATAGTAAAATCGCAGTGATATCATTTTAATAGTTGAAGTACTATCAAATCGCAGGGTACGTAAAGGTTATATTTTGTTATTGTAAACATTTCGTATTATGATTAAATCCACATAGAAAATAATAATAATTTATTAGTTATAGCATGAATTGATGGCATTTCAAACCATTATGTTTTCTATTTTTGGGCCCCAGGGGCGGTTAGGTGGTCGCGAGGGTTGTAAGCCATGTAATATTTCCACTGAACATTGATTGGAGCAGTTGGAAGGTTGCCAAACAGCCATGAACTCAAATAGTCACAAATATCAAGTCAAACAAGGGTTTTTTCTTTGTTATTTTGTAAAATTTTCATGTTTTTAAAATTTTTTGCGGTTTTATGTTTTTTTTAGTGTTGATGTGATGAAAAAAATATGAAGTACGAGTAAAGTTTATGAGAATCGATATATGTCCGTCGGTGGCTATGGCTTCGATCGACCATCCGCTGCGACGGCGGCATTTATTCGATTTTGCGGGCCGACGCCGACGTCAGCGGCGACGCATCGTTACGTAACTTAAAACTACTCGCCAGCAGAGTCGGCAGGAAGCGGCAAAGCCTTCTAAACTAGGACGAAACTCTATAACCACTTCATATAACACATACACATATCGGTCTCCCCATCATAATATAAATTAATTCTATCTCTGCATTACACATTAAACGCATGGATGTTATTCGAACTTATTTGAAAGTTATGTAAAAAAGCCGTTTGCGTTTGACCTTGAGCGCGCGCGTTCGGTTTTACCTGAGATAAATCCGGATCGTCGCGCATTTTCTCCTCGATGGTCACGGAGAACGTGCCCGGTAATGCGATGGCAGCGAAGAGGCCCAACGTCACCAACAGCATGCTTGTTGCCATCGTGTGTAACACTTAAATATTGTTTCTTTTTGATGCTCGGGCGCAAAACGACGCACAATGTATAATCTCGCACACTCGGTGGCGCGCGCGCGAACTCGACAGGCACACAACTGCGGACCGGGCGCAAGAGCCGAAGTACTACCAACCACACACAAGAGCAGAGAGCGCGCAACTCGCAACACACCGGCGCACCGCACGCGCAACTTCGACTGACTGGCGGACGGTGACGCGCGCCGACTCACCGCGTACCGTTTGCGCGTTCTTCTTCGCTTCTCTCCTTCTGCCGATATCGCCGCCGACACAAACACAATAACTGATATCTCGTGCGAATCTTACAAGCGCAGTGACAAAAATTGAATCGTCATTTTATATCTATAGAATTATCTAGATGTTAGATGTTTACTCTGTGTTGTTGTTTTGGTTTTGGTTTGCGTATTCAAATGTTTCTTTGTTATTCCAGAATATTCCTGAGTGTCCCTGAACTCGAATGCCTTTGGGATTCGTTTATTTGCCGTCTGTACGTCGACTGTCTGCCGGGGTATTTGTAATATTCATTTTTCTTGTTTCTACAATCGCGTAATGTCATTCACGGCAATTATTTAGATTAATTTTCTTTGCTACACTTCACAAGTCTTTTCTGAGTGACATTTTACTATTTGCACAACACCTTTATATCATAAAACTTTTAAAAATGTCAATTCAATTGATTATAACCTTTTTATGTATAGTAATGGTGTATGTGTGGTTGCCTAACATAGATATAATTACAAAACCACTAACCTTCAAGTATTCATAATAAATATACAAAATTTAGAAAGATTTTACATATTTTGACCCAAAATATACTCTAAACTATTCTTTAAAACATGATTTTTCTTTCCAGCTTCCATTTTAGGCCTTGCGACGTGAGACCATTTAAATCCTTGCAATCTCGCGCATGAATCCTTCATTCTGACGTCGTTCATGCACTAAAAAAGAAAGAAAATGAAACAAATCTCGTGCGTTTTGGTTTGTTTTCGGCTCCCATCTCGGACGTGTTACTTGCTCCTCAAGTGAAACTGGCGCAGTGCTTCAGTATGCAAAACTGGCGACGTTTCACGCTCCATTAACACCAACGACTAAATAATTGCACTTAAACGTGATCCAACACGAAACAAACATAAAAATGTATCACTTTTAACATGAACAAGTATTTCAAACTAAATATTTGCATCTCATATATATAAAAAACATTTTAACCTTTAAATTCAATTAGGTAATTGAGGTTAAATTGGTATTCGCTGATAAAATAGTTGAAACAAGTGACAAATCACTGCAAAGGCATTGAAATCCATTCGTGCGAACGTGTAGCTCAAACTCACTCGAAACTTGCTGCTTGCTGCTAGCTGGAAACTGCATTGTCTTCAATCTCAATCGTCTACAACTACAACTACCGCAACTATTTCGAATCTAATGAATGTTTGCAACTATGCGCTGCATGTAGAATGAAAAGTATCATTGCATCCGGTTGGAACAACACTCTTCCTTTCCTTTGATGACAAATGACAATTATCTACAAAAAAAGTATAAAACATTAACTGCAGCAGGAGATAATCACTTCTTTTTTTTTCAAGTGGAAGTAGAAACAGGTACTGTGTACTCTCAACATTGAAAATGATAAAGAAAAAGAAAAAGAAAAATCACTTACAAGATTTTATATGACATAATAACACTGTAATTGGCTGAATCACAAGCGAATGCGACGTATTTCCGCTTGAGTTAATCCCCAGACATAACCTATCAATAGTTAGCAACCAGTCTTGCAGGAAACAATAATTTTTTATATTTTCGTTGAATGTTTTCACACAAATACCTGAAAATGTCAATTATTTTTATTAGAATACTATCACGATATATTAAAAGAGTAAAGTATGGAAATTTTTACAAAATATTTACAAAAATGAAATTTTTGCTGAATAGAAATGCCAATAAATATGTTTCATATATTTTTCTGTACAAAGAGCTGTAAATTCTCTTTCATTTTAGTGGAGCGTAACAATATGTGAAGTTTTTTATTGTCTCACCTTGTATTTATCAATAAACCAATATGTGTGGCGCCGATATCAAATAAAATGCATTTTGGGCTGCGGCAAATAGTCAACAGTTTTATTTCGCGCAATTATTTTAACTCGCGCGTGTTTCGCATGTTTATCCTATGCCGTTGAAGTATATCCGTTGAAAATGTACGCGCAATTGTTGATTCCATTAACCGGCGTGGTTTGTTTACCTGCCGGAGTTGAAAAATTTACACTCACGAGTCGAGAAACAATGACCGCTGCTTTTCTAGCGTTATTCTCTTTTAAATTTTAATTAAACTTTTGTTTCTCGTGAAAAATATGCATGACTGACTTTTCTTACATTATTTATTGACAATAATAGTTTTATAAACCTGCTTTTAACTTGCTTACCTGATTTAACAATTTCCAGCACGATTTGAAACTTGTAACGATTTTTCTATTTTTATAGGTTATGTAACACTATATACATCAACACTGTATGTAACACTGTATGCATCTAAGCGCGCAAAACGTCAAGGACACAATAAAAACAACGATTTTCACAATGAAATAAATTAATTAGTTAATTAAAGAGTAATGGTGGATATAAAAACATTATTTGATAAACCATTGACGTTCCCAGTATAAAAATACGATGGAATTTTATGAAGTGCAGTTTTTATTGCAGTCACGTAAATAGCACAGCGCACGATGAAATTGCATCATCATAACACTCATCATCATCATCATCATAATTGCTAAAAGCGAAAACAACGAAAGACGTTAGCGTTCAAACTCATACACGAAGCATAAATGATGATTCGTGCTCGTTTTGCACTTGTTTCCACAGCGAAATTCCGCAGAATGCGTCGTCATTTCACTAAACAGGTGCGCATTTTGCAAATTTGCCGATTAATCGTACTTAGATTCAATAAATGACCGCATCAGCATTGTATTAAAGTCAAAACAATAACAATACTACTTTAGGAATATAATTAGGTCATATTTTAATAAGTTATTGTAGTGTTTAACAGGTTTTCTTCTGGTGAATTGCAAGTTTTGTAAACTTCAACTCCTGAAAACATAGAAACTCACCCGAAATAGTTACGTAACACGAATGCCACATATCGATCATTTGCGGCAAGGATTTCCACCCGTCCTTGACCTAAACAACTCGCGGCCCAGTTATGCGTGGGTGTTTGTTCGACCGCCGCCCCCACACTTTCCCGCCAGGCACGAATATCTTGCGCATAATAGAAATAAATATTGATATTTTGACAAAAGCGTTATTTCAACATAGGCAACCAAATATACACCAATGTCAATTTTATACTTCTGAACTCATTTCAACATTTAAAAATGTGATTAATAAAGTTTATGCCTGGTTTTATGTGGTTAATTGCTTTAATGTATCCCAAAGTGTTCACATCGAGCTAAATCAAGCTAAACACGTCTAGTTTATTCCGCAAAAACTGCTTCCTTTCGGTTTTCTATCATTATATCATTGAGCTGTATTGTATTGTATGCATTGCACGGCAGGTTTACACAGTAAACCGTAAAACATTTCAAGCGTTTGCAGCGTTATACATGTTACACATCATATCCTTACTACCCCCGCCCTCACATCATGTCATCCTTTCTTGATAAGGCCACGATAAACCACAGTAGGCGAAAGAAAACAATATTTACACATACAATTATTACTTAGACAACTAAAAGTGTAGATTAATGTATTAATCAAGAGCATATTAGCGTAGTTTGCTTAGCTGGAGGTGGTTGACGATTAAAATCTCTTTTACATTTATTCATTATCATCTCTAGGCGATAAATTTACAAGTTATAATCAATAATATAGGTCAGTTCACCTCTCCACGTCAATAAATCATTGAATCAAATGATAAAACAAATAAAAATAAACAATGTTCACATCCTAACAACTCAATAACAATTTGCCTATATGAATCAATTTGTAGATATTTGCAATTTCAATTAAAGTTTATCACAATAAGAATTATTTACGTTTGAATTTTGGCAGTGATAAACTGTTTGATAGATCCGATTTGGCAGGCAAACAAAATACAAATACTAGAACGAAGATGTTGAACAAAACTATAACAACGCGACACTTAATACAATCGAACTATATATGAATTAAAAAGTAATCGTTGTACGATCTACTGGTGTGTCTACCTAAAATGTACGATATATGTATATGTATAAACTTAGAAATAAATTAATGTTACGACGTTATTTCATAAATGTATATAGTAGAGTAGAATTTATCTTATTCATGTCTGGGCGATGTTGGTTGAAAGTTGTCCATTCCATCAGCATTTGTTTTATAAATTAATCATTAACTTTATCCATTATGTTAGGTTAGTAGTACAATTAATGAAGCCCGTGCGGCGGCGGCTAGGAATCGCGATCCGGCTACTGAATGCTTTGTTCGCAGTGTTGGAGAGAATTGTATTGTGTGTGGATGTGTGTGTGTTGTAGTGCAAAAGAAGCGATGTTTGCAGCTCTGGAGAAGACTTAATGTCTAATTGATCCATCCGACCAGGTAGTTGCGCGGAAGGCCGATGCGGCGCTGGCGTCCCACTGAAACACACCAATTTTAAGGTTATAATATTATGTTTTGACATTTTTTCATGGCAGCCATTTTACATAACCTATCACCATATAAATAATATTTTATTCTAAATAACATCGAGATCTAAACATTAACTAAACACTTAAACTTAAGCTGATTGCTTCTTGTATGCTGAATGTTTTGATAAAGTGTAATTTATTTTAGTTTTTTGTGAATAACTTTTAAACTATTTGACTAATCATCATGAAATTTTCAGAAGTGATTAAACATGATTACTTAAAGATATTTCAGAAATATCATCAAATTCGACGCTTTCAATAAAAAGTTATCAACAAAAATGTTGAATATGTAATATCTGTTGTGTTGTGTAGATGCTTACAGTTTGAAAGGAGGATAAATGTTATTTGTAGAATGTAGTGTTTGTTATTCAAGCATTCATGCGATCATCCACAAGATGCAACGTGCAGTAATCATTAAATGAAGCACTCTTGTGATTACACTCCAAACCAAAAACAAAAGCGATAGCTACGACAGTAAGCGGCGTTGAAATAGTCCTTAATCAGCTGCATCGGCTGAAAAAGCATAAACTGCGTGTAAAATCATTGGTGTTGTACAATTTTACAATCATCTACAATGAAAAAAATGTTAAATTAGTGTTAAATAAGCAATGAAACGTTTGTCATCAGTCACTCCACGTGACTTTGCTTGTAATATTGTACAACTGATGGATATATACATATAGATGTGTCGTCGGTGATTTTTGCAACTAGAAATCAAAAATTAAAAAATATAAGTAATAAACTCTTACGTACTTTATTGCGACACAAAGCGCGCACACTACGAGCTGGTCGCTCCCAGCCGAGACCGACGTTCTGTGAACAGAGAGTACAGCACATTTCAATTGACACACGTTTCAAGGGGCTGCAGGCCGAGAAGAAAACCAAACAACGTCAAACAAATGATTAATATACAACGAAAAATCATGCCTGCAAACATTATTACTTCATCATGTCATCACACACTGTTAATTCAGTATTAATATTTTTTGGTTATGTTATGTTGTTATGTATGCAACCATCAACACACCGAATAATTGTTAGGTTAGTTCTTGGTGAGCTACGTCAATTTCCTTTATCGTTGGAACTTTTGCTTTCGTTCAGTATTCGAATTTTAATGTGTAAATGAGCAGAAAGAGAGTAGAAGGTGAAGAGAAAGTGTTTCAAGAGATAGAAATAAAGAGAATCCATTGTTTTTTTGCTACGACAACACAGATATAACCAAAAAATGCACGCGAAAATTTTACCTAACCACAAAATAAAAGTGTCCTAAAGTGTATGCTCATTGCCTATATCTAACTCCCTGGAATCTGTGAAGAAAAAACATTGTTTTCATTTGCCAATCAGTAGGTATTTTACTTTGTTTTTTGTTGTGATATTGTTTTTGATAATATTGACGTACCATACCATATTTTCCAGGCAATTAATAGGAAAACCAAGCAAAACGTGCAATTGACAGCTTGAAATAATGAAAAAACGAAGAAAATAATTCAATAATGAGCTAAAACTAAAAGAAAAACAAAAAAATGATAACAAGCACATGCCGTGTCGTGTTAATTAAGTCGATTTTGTATTTTTATACGACGCGAATTTATTCATTAAAGTTTAGAGAGTATATCCCGTGGATTCATTTAAGATTGCAATCTTTATATTTAATTTTTATATATTTTTTTAAATTAGTTTTAAGCTCAAGCATTAACTTAATGTGCAAAAAAAAACTCTACGGAGTGCAATCCAACGAAATGAATGCACAAAAATATAACCAAAATAAAAAAAAATACAAAATAAACCGAGAATTTATTTATAAAGTTGTGGAATAAAAAACAGTGATGTTTGTTGTAAGTCGAAAGTCACTGGCAAAAACGATTATCACGATTACATTACTAAGTCATTAAAGACGTGGTCATTTATGGTAGAAGGGTTAAAAGAGTTACACTGCACGAACATAGGTACCTTCAGTTTATGAGGGGTGTTTTCCTATGGTTAAAGAATCGGAACCGCAATCGCAGTGTTAAGTCTTTGCGAACTATAATTGGACAAACAAAAAAAGAACAACATGTTCGGGTAAGACGACATAACTCCACTGGGAAGAGAGAAAGAAAAAGAGAAATTTACGAGAAACAAAAGGATTGATAACAAAAACAAAGAGAAAAAAAATCGTTTTCGCGAGCGAAATGTGTTTATCGGTGTGAATGGTTGTCGTTTGTGCGTGCGTATTTCTTGCGTTAGCGCGCCATCTAGTAATAAAAACGAAAACAAAAGGACTGCAAAACAAAACGTAAACGAAAATAATAGACGATTTCGTAAACACGACGAATCGTAGATAAATATAAAGAAAAATTAAAGAATAAAAGTAAAGCGGAACGAAATTTCGTCATCCAGCTGATGTCGCTTGCAGCTGGTGCCAGATTAACAATTATTTATACAAATTGCATCAAATTTTTATGCGCTATGCCTATTATATTATATGTATATGCGGAAACGGATTAATCAAAAAGAATCTCAGCGCTTTGCGGCGGATTTTGTTGTTTTTTCTGATTTTTTTGTCTTCAATGCAACTCACGCATGTTCGCTCAACGCTTCGCACCTGATCACACCCTGAATTCACAACGTTTGCTCAATCTTAATCGCGGCGCCCGAAGCGCCCAGCGTTATCTTGTAATTCGCTTTCATTACACGCCCATCTACAAGCGAAATGCACAAAAATTGCAATTGTCTAAATTAAAGGCCCTTCAGATATAGTGTGTGTTTGTGTTGATGTAAGATGGCGTCGTGATGCAAATCACACACACGGACGCTCGTCTAAATTTAACTTTTGTTTACACTTTGGTAGCCAATTTATCATTTTCTTTTTACACAAAACGCAAAACGCACAAAAACGCGATATGCTCCTGAAAAGTAAAGGCATGATCTTCAAAAATTAATGATCAATGATGTCAAAATTTACCACCACCACCACCACTACGGTATCAAAAATAAAAATGATTTAAAATACTGGTTTTCAATAGAATTGGCGTGATGAGAGAATGTATGAGACGCTTACTTGTGTCAACGTTGCGTTGTAAATGTGTGGCGATGCGGTGACGCGCATCGTTGTACTCTAAATGCAAGCCCAACCTCAGCAGCGTCGGATTCTTCTCCACGAGGTTTGTGATTTCCATTTCGATTTTGTTACCCAACACGCTCGATCTCTGTTATGAGTGTTGTGAAATAAAACAATTAATGTCGGTAAGGAAGGAATTTATATATTTTTTGACATTTACCTGATTTGTTCCTCTGAATTCTTCCATGGATTTCGTCTTAAGCAGGGCTTTGACCAGGCGAACGATACCCGCAGGCGAGATGAAGTTGGTCTCAACGTTGAGCACTCGAATGGTGTGGTTGAGCTCCAGCGCATCGGCCAGTTTGTTCGAGTGCCGGTCGCTCAGACCCACATTGACTAGGTTGAGCGTTTCGAGGTGTGTGTTTTCTTTGAGCGCTTCGAATAAGCTTTCAAACTTTTCATCAGAGATATTCTAAAACAAAAATATAAGTAAAAACATTAAAATATTTGGATTACTAACTTTAAAAACCTCTATTATTTGAGGTTATAAGGCGGCCATTTTGTAATAATGCATATAATTGATGCTTTTCTGAATAGATTGATTTGTATTTACCTTAATATTATTCCAATTGAGGTCAATCAGTTTAGGATCGTCGTTCTGCACCTGTTTGATGGTTTCGTCCGGATCGGTGTTGTTTGGCGGCTCGGCAGGAAACAGCTTCTGCTTGGAAGCTTTCGTAATGCCGTCCCAGCCCATGCCCACCGGCTGTCCCTTGTTCAGCAGCGACGCATGGTACTGATCCTGATTCATCATCGAGTGGAAGCCGAGAATAGCTAGAAAAAAGCAATTAGACCATATTTAGCCGCACCATACTCCATTCAACTCGCACATTCAATCATTACGCAATATATTGACCACCATTTAAGGTATGCAACTTGATAAACGATTACCACACGTCCAAATTAATACATAAAAACATATTTTTGCATTATTTCATTATCTATACTCAAATAAATGGCTTAAAACATGAAATTTTAGGTTAAAATACTACTCATGCTGTTTAAACACGCCATTTTGCAATGAATCAATGCAAATAGTTGATAATACACCTCAAAATGTAATTTAATATGCACTTACCAGCCAAGTCAATGATCTCCTCTTGTGTGGCTTCTGACAAAGCCTGTTCATACTCATCACCCATATCAATGGCTATCTGTTCACCTGCTTCTTGTTCTTTGATTGGAATTGGCGGTGGGATCCACTGCAAAAACATAAAAATCAATAATAAAACATTTGAAACAAAAATAGTAAAACATACTTTCTTGCCACGAATTGTCCCAGCCACATATGGCTTCAACTCAGGCTGGTCTGGTGTTTCCAGAGCCTGTTTATTGATGTGTTCGATGAGTTGCTTGCGATTGAGTGGTCCAGTTGGTTCTTTTTCACAATCATAACTGCATCTTTGTGAAGGTGGCAAGAAACTATCCTGCAATGCCACCACAAACAAAATATAAGTAAAATTTAGCTGATTATGAATGATTTATGTTTGTACTTACATCAGGATCAACTTCTTTGGCAAGAATATTTATTTCTTCAGGTGACAGCTTAGCAAGCAGCTCCTCGACGTCGATTTCATCGTATTCGCTGAGATCTTTACCGTAGAGCTTCGCCGGGGTGGTCATTGTTGTGGTTTTGGTTTTCGACGACGTCTGCAAGTCAAATCAACACGAATTGTAGATTAAAAGTGTGGAAACAATTCACAATCGCCGCTTGCACACACAATGGCATTGAAGATTGTTGAATTATTGATATAATCATATTCAGCGATCGATTTCGCAATGTATATCGCAGCGTACCTCTCTATGTGGTACTCGGATGCTTTTACTTTTCAATTTCCAGCACGCGCACGGTAATAAATGCTTACAATTTATTCCACACCCAAAAACAGTCGACACTTCTCCACCTCCAACGCAATTCTATACTGTGCAGTACCTTCACCGCATGCAATGAAGGTTTATGCGAGTGTGGCGAGTGCAACAACGACTAATCAGTTGCGATCTGCGATATTGTCGAGTTTGAGGTTGAGGAGTGGTAAACAGGTAAAGAGCGGAGCGAACTCACGAACTTGAGGAATGATTGTGTGAGCAGCAGCAGTGAGCGACGCCTAAACATCAACTAGTTGATGACCCTAATTCACGTGATGATTCAACGCTAATCAATAATTTGCGTTCCTAGCATTCACAATTATCTTCCAACAAAAATTTGACAAGTTTATTACTTCATATTGACAATGTTATCATGATTTATATCAGTAATTAATAGAATTTAAAGAGGAATTTTCTTAGAAAATATGTGTATTGACTATAGGCAACTTTTTATACACCAATTTACATTGAGGTATAAATGACAGTTTATGAGATAATAACTAAAAATAAACATGATGAAACATTAAAAACAAATAATACATCACTAAGTGTTAATTTGTTAAGTATATATGTTGTGTTTAATGTGATAATTATTAAAAATAAAAGGAAATACTTTTGCTCTTCTCTGATTGGTCACGAGGGTTGATTTCAAAGATGGCTGTATGCATCTGTTAGTTTGTGTAATAAATTCAAATTGAAATAATAATAATAACATTGGAATGTGATTGTCATGCATATTTAATTATTACAATAGTTGTAATAATAAGTGAAGGTCATGGTTTGATATGCCATTTAAGTTTTGCGCGAGATTTTCGCAACAGCGCGCGGACGTTGCGAAAAATCCCGCGGCAGTGCGCCGCGCTGTTTTGATTAGTTTCTTTGTAGTCTGGGCTCTCCGGGGGCCGGAACAGGCCGCACTGGCAGCAGCCCAACGCGCTATACTTGGCGATTCGCGGCTATGAAAACTGATTGTTTATTTATAGCGGCAAGGAGCGCGCGCGCGAGCGCACCGCGTCGGCCACTGGCCTTCCGTGGAAATGCGCGCCGGAAAAACGCCGCAAGACGCAAGAAAATCCGATTGCCCGTGACCTACGCTTTCATTCACACCTTTCCCGAACGCATACCACGTTGCACATCAAAAAATTAACAAAAACTACAAAAATTCATTTAAATGATATTTTAGACTGTATGCAACCAAATATACACAAATGTAACACCTAAATACATAAATCTAATGAGGTTAGATTTATCTTTAGAAGAGTATAAAGTTAAGCGCATTGTTTAGTCTTCGTAGATTCGTTGATGTTGTAAGTATTGTAAGTAATTAACATGTTTCGCGCGAGTAAAACGAACGCATACGATATGTGAAGCGCAACGGGCCGTAACGAAGCAACAATTTCGGCCAACACGTAACACGGCTGCGCTGTGTGAGCTAAGCTTTATTCGCAATAAAAACATTATGTCATCAGCTGCCCACTAAAAGCGACGGCCAACAATAAAAATATCAGCTTTTTGAAATAGACACACTTTTGCGAACTATCTGCGCATTTTCGACCAAAACAAAACAAAAACAACGCCAAACAAAAGTTGAAAAATTAATAACAATTATTACGCAAGCGCAACTTGTAAAAATAAAATAAAAACAGTTATAATTTATGCAGTTACGGTAAACGCGCACAAAACGAACAAAAATAAAAATAAAAATACTTTCATATCAGTTGGATTTAAATACAAAAAATGCCTTTGTTTACAGTATTATTGAATTGTCGGATTTAGCTAGCAATAAAAATTGCGTCCTTAAGACTAAATACGCGCGTCTCGAGCTATTTATACCTTATTAATAAAATAAACGCCGCCATCGCACGTCGACTTGGGCATTTAGCGAAGGATTTGCCACGCGGACGAAAATAGTTTCGTGTGCGACGCGAAATCAACAACACTTTTGCGTGTTTTATGCTGCTACTCGTGTTTTACTCCAGCTGTATGCGAACAATCACAAATCACAAGCGTATAATCAACCTAACCTTTTAAATTTTTAAACATAACCAAAAAATGAATTTTTATAGGTTATGTAGTCAAATTAATAGGAATTGATGTTTATTTATAATTTTTTGAAGAATATGAACAAAATATTTATGTTTATGATTCATATTTAAAGTAAAAAGTAGGAATTAATGCTTATTCTGTTAAATTTTTGAATTTTTCGTACTTTTTCTTGTGTTTTACTTCAGTTATTTGTGAATAAATTTGAAAAACATTAACCTAACCTTTAAAATCAATAAACACAACTAAAAAATTGACCTAACCTAAAAATTATTGCCAATATTTAATTATTTTGAGGTTATATATAAAAGTACCTATGATTTTGAGTAAAATTTGAAGTAAAAATGAAGAATTATTGCATACTAGCTTTGACCCGTGGCTTCGCTCGCGAATATCTAAAATAATGAAGTTGCTTCCGTACGCGTCTGTAGTCACAGAAGAAGTAACAATGAAGTAGAATGGCGGGAAGTTTAAAATGGCTGAAAGTATAGTCTATGGAAGTATAGTGTACAGTCTCCATAGTGTAGTCAATTGGATTTGATGTTGACGTAGCTGTCGGTAATACAGTGTGATGGTACTATAGTACTTAGGTTTGAGTTTCATTGCTGGAATGCTAGATGGCGTTAAAGTAGTCAAATAGCCAGATGCAGAGGTATTATTGGCTAAACAATTTCTTTATTTTATTTAAAAAATATTTTTTTTATTAAATAAAAAGTAGCCTATAACCATTCGGGGACCACTAAGAATATGTGTACAAATTTTCATGATGATCGGTTAAGTAGTTTTTGCGTGAAAGTGAAACAAACATCAGCACTTTCGCATTTATTATATTAGTAGGGATTTCTACCAATATTTGCATTTTTCGTATTTAGCTTGTGTTTTACTTCAATTCTGTGCAAATAAACACAAAAAACAATCAACATAACCTTTAAAATTGCCTAACATAACCAACAAAACATTATTTTAGGTTATAAACACTAAAAAATCAAAACTTAACCTAAAATAACCTAAAAATCACCGCAAATTCCAATTTCAAAGGTTAAAAAACCCAAAACTTAAAATTTTGGTTACAAGAAGTGTGTATGAATGTGTATTTCTGTAAATCAATGAAAAATGTTTATTTTTACGCCCCCCGCCGCGTGCGCAATCACTCCGAATGAAAGCACCACACGCATTAGCAATATTTACATCTCACTGGCGCAGTAAACAAGCGCTTACTTTTCTATTAATAAATAAATGCAGATATATTTGCGCTTTATTACAATATTTGCAACACACTACTTCATTATTATTATTATTATAGCACGCAAACGCCGCGGCTCTTTCTATGAACAGCAACAATAAATCCACGCTCGTAAACTTGCGTATAACTTTTATTATTCAAACGAATCACGCTGACAATACGCGAAGTCAACAAGCGGGTAAAATTAGCACAAGTCGCGTAAATCATGTCAAGTGTTAATCGCGCTAATTAATTGAATAATTAATTAGTGCACATTGTGTCTTGTCTCTGCCTGCAGTGAAAATTGTGCCAAGTGTTTAACGTTTTGTGCGACAATCCAAGCCAATTAGGAGTTAATTAATTAGTCGGCGAATATTTGCCATCAATAGTTCAAACACCGATGCCGGGTGAGAGCCGGACGTGATGAGAGAGATGCAGTTTTGTTTAATTTTGGAACAAGTTGCAAGAGAGTCGTTTGTAAACGCCGGCGAGGCGAATTAAGTTCGTTAGCGACGCGCGGTGCTTCTTCACACCCTAGTTAATCACGAAACGAGCTGTTCTAGTACCACTCGGATAGCAATTTGTTACTTAGCTCACTTAATTCACGTCAAAAACAATTTTTTTTTAATTTTTACTTAAAAACAAAAATATTTAAAAAATATTTTTAGGTTATTTTTGAGGTTAATAATATTTTTATTAGTAATATTTTGTGTAACACCCTGTATATTTTTCACGGTTGAGCTGAAATTGCGTCAAATGTTAACGAAGCATCCATTTCACGCTTTGCACTTCACATATCAAGACTTTATACTTATTTTTGCATAGTATTTAAGGTTATAAATTATTTTGAGGTTAGGTTTGTCTATGTATGGCATGCTGCGCATGTATTATTAACACTTGGCGCGCGCGCATCGTGTCCCCAATGCAAATCTAGATTAATACGCTTCGATTTATTATTTATTTTTGCTGTAATCCGGCGGCGAGACGCTGCGCGTGATTTAACACTGGACAAGTGTCGTTAAATGCACTCGCGCATGCGTATTGCGGATGGAATTAGGAAAGTGATAGGAATATATACGTAATTTATCGAAGTCGGATGTGTGTAATAAAAGACCGAGCGCAATAAAACGCGCAAAGGATTACAACTGCTCACGAGCCTAAAACTAACCTAAAAATAAACTTTGTTAGATTTGGTTGTGTGTGTGTGTGTGTTGGACCGATGGTCAGCGTTAAACGATGAGCGCCCGACATCTGATTTATATTGATTGTAAATTACGAGTGTTGGAGAGATCACTGACTCGCAAGATGGCCGCCAGTCGTCGTCGTGTGCAATACATATTCAGATATACATATTGAATATTTAATGTTATGATTGGTGAGTGCGTGTGCGTAAATATTTATGGTAAATTGTCAGTGCGGCGCCGAATTTAGCGCGTTACGGATGTTTATTGATAGAAGTAGTGTTTTTGAGGTTAAAAATGTCATGTCAATCGCATTGGTCAATGGCCGCGCATGCGCA